GTTTTCAGTAGGAGACGGGGTTGAGTCTAAGCCTTAATGTTAAGCTAGGACCTGGGATGGAAGAGACGTATGACCACAGTGGAATACTGAGGCAGTTATGTGGAGATGGGACCATGCAAGTTGTATTATTTAATATGCTTCTACACAGGCCCCCCCGAAAAATGTGCATTTTTTGGAAATGAATCCTCACTATAAGCAGCACACTCTAAGAAGTAAGTAAATGGCAGTGGTCAAAAATGTGAGTTCTAAGTAATTAAAAAAAAATACCTAGGAGAAATGGATAAAACATGCATGGCACAGATTATATTGCTCACTAAATATCACATGTTTTCCCCTACATTACCCAACCTTCTTTCAAGCTCGTTTGGGCTAAAGTGCATATGACTTCTGGTCCAAGTCAATAAAGACTTAAGTGGGGTTTCCATTCTTCCTGTTTCCTTTCCGGGCAGTGGGAAGTGAAGACTTCTGAGATGGGAGGCCTGGACAATGGAATGTTGCCTGCATCTGTAAGTTAGGCGTTGTTGGAGAGCCATGACAGTGCTTTACCTGCTTCAGACTGTGATGTGAGCAAGAAATACACATTGTCTTCAGCCTTTGAGATTTCAGGATTTGTTTGTTATTGCGGCGTAACTTACCCTATCCTATTATAAATACTGTTCTCTGTGAAGGAATTGAATGTTGTTACATAACACCGAGTATTTATCCTCTATTTAGAAAAGATGACAAGCAAAGAAAACTCTTACAATGCTCTTTTGGCTATCTGCAGTTGAGGGTTATGCCTTCTTGCCTAGGAGCAGATAATAAAGAGGTATCTGATTAAACAGTCAGCATCTATAATCCCTTGTGAACATGGACCACACTCACTTGTGCAGTGCGGTGCAGAACACTGCAGTCGCTCTAATCATGGGCAGTAGATGGTGAACAAGGAAGGACCAAGGTTTTATTTACTTGAAATAAACAGACAATCCTCAAACCTACTCAGTTAACATCTTCCCTAATCAGACTTTTTAACATGGCTACTAACAAGTAGAAAATGACTTTCCCAGCTCCTCTTCCCCACCACTCTTTCTGGTGGGCCTACTAATTAGATGAGATGCAAACAAAGGGTCAATCACCTAAGGAAAGGAGGGAGCCAGGGGCTAGAGAAATCCACAAGCTAGACCACAAGCCTGAATCTTGGGGCACAACTATGTTTGGAACAGTATTTTGTTGCCTGGGAATGTCCTAGATGAAGTACTCTATTTCTCCTATTGGCTGCATTTATTCTCTGGCCAGAAGGAATCTCCAGCTGCATAGGGGTTCTGGATCCTGGTGAATTTCTTTGGCTGGGTGTTAAACGTTAGCCAAAGAACACCTGTTCTTTGGAGTAGATTCCTCTGAAGTAAGCAGTGTGTACAAAATCCCCACCCTGAAAACGGTCTTACTTCATCCAAGAAACAAAACCTGTGAAAGGGAGATAGATTAGCCTCATAATCATCTTCCCTGAAAAGAGGGTGCCAAAAGAATGAATCTCTCAACCCCAGTGTCCTCCTACCCTCCCATCTCCTTCCGGTGCCTCCGTTGGCTTAACCCAGCCAGAACCCAGAGGGCACAGGGGCCCACAAACGCAGTCCCTACAGGTCAGTTTCCCATGGCTCGCAGTAAGATGAAGGACAGAGAGTAGTACTAGAAAGGCAAGTGGAAAATATCCAGCACATTGTAAAAAAACGAGAAGGTCACAACATTACAGAAAATTCATATCTAAGTGAACTAATATCAGTCATCCACTTATACACACCAATACATACAGTGGACATGTTTAAGTTTAGAGGCTTTTCCTTTGCCTCTCGATACCAATTCTCCTTTGCCCCCCAAATTAGAACAGTGAGGAGATGCAGACTAGAAGGGCCATTCTCTTCAGAACATAATGCACGTGGGGGTTGGACATGTCTCTTCAGTACCCAACCAAACAGGAGCCCCCACAAGAGTTTCCTATGAAACTTCTCCCCCTCTCATCACCAGCAAGGAGGAAACTTCCTTGGAAGGCAGAGCCCATGGCCCAGTTCTGAATACTGCATACCCTCGGGATCTGTGAGTCCCAAGACCCCTTCCAGGGGTGTGACGCAGGGAGATCTCACATGCTGATGAAGGGATCCTTTCTCCTGGCTCCAAAAGCTCCTATTCCCACCTCCTTCCAGGATTAATGTTACCCAGGTCCTGCAGCTGAACCTGTCACATGCCCATGTGAGCCAGTCAACCTACCACTCCTCAAATCTCTGCTGACTACTTATCCTACCTGAAAGCTCACCACCCCCCTGGTTCTCAACTGCTTCCAGTTCTCTACAGGTCTTTACTGGTCACACCTATTTCTCTGCCCTCTCTAGTATGAACTGGGCCAGTCTCAGGCCCACAGAGGCTAAAATGTTCTGCTGATGAGGTTGCTCTTGTGCCCTGCTTTGCCAATGCCACCTTCCTCAGCTGCTTTGCACTGGCTCCCTGCTTCCCCAGACAGCCCACTCCCACCTTCTCCTCAGAGATGCTCTCCTTCCAGTCCACCCCCCAGTCAGGCACTCTATGCCTTTAGATGCCAAGTACTTTCTGGAACCACATCTCTGGTGAGCAACCCATCAAACTGCTTCATGTGCTAATCCAATTCCTGTGCGTTTGATTATGCTCCTAGTGGGGTGAGGATAATGAGGAGTGCTAAATTACCTAAAAAGAAAGAAAAATCATGACTCTCATGTAAACATAAAATATGCACACACGAAGATTTTATTTAACTCATTAATTCTTGAGGAAACGAGGAAGACCTTACAAATGTTTTAGAGGAGAATCCCAAGAACCATACATATACAGGCAGGCAGAAGGAATGTTGAGATGAATCACAAATAGATGCAAAATGGGTTCAAAATCAGTTGCATTCCACCAGACACAATTCATTTGCATTCCTGTGGACAAGAACCATTTGCATTATTGTTACTTTTTCACAATTTACGGTATAAAATAGCTCAAAGTCAATGAAAGGCGGAGACAACCACAAGGGCGCTCTGAAAAGGACATCCAGTAAACAATGTCTTTGCCAATTTTAAGTCTTTCACAATTTTTCCTGATAGGAGGAAGGCCTCTACACATTCCCATAGGAACCCACATGTAGTACGACTATCAGAAGCACTGTCCCTGAGATAAGAACAGGCATTTCTACTTGTGGAGGCCAAAGTGTGCTTCCTCCTGAACTCTAAACGTCAGTAAGTGCTACAGACTGAATGTTTCTGCCCCCGCCGAATTCACATATTGAAATCAGCCCAAGTAGACTAAGACAACAAAGGATGGAAGCCTCTTCCCTTTTAGAGTGTTGTTACTCAGAAAATGGTCTGGCGTCACCTGAGAGCCTGTTTAGAAATTCGGAATTTCAGCCCCAGTCTAAATCAGAATGTACTTTTTAAAAGATCTCAGAGCTAAACAAATTGAAAGACATCCCACATTTATGGGTTGGAAGACTTAATATTGTTAAGATAGTAATACACCCCCAAATAATGTATAGATTTAATTATGATCCTTATCAATATCGCAGCTGGCGTCTTTGGAAGAAATTGGCAAGCTTATCCCAAAATTCATAGGGAAACACAATGGGTCCAGAATAGCCAAATCAGTCTTGATTAGGCAAGTGGTTTCTTGGATATGACACCAAAGCTTAAGTGACAAAGAAAAGATGAATTGACCTTAATCATATTCATCAGAAGTTTTGTGCTTCAAAGGACACCACTAAGGAAGTGCAAAGACAACCCACAGAATGGGACAAAATATTTGCAAATCATATACCTGATAAGGAACTTGTATCCAGAACATAAGAACCCTTACAACTCAACTATAAAAAGACAAAGCATTCTACTTAGAAAGGGGTAAAGGATTGGAGTAGACATTACTGCAAAGAAGATATACAAGTGGCCAGTAAGTACCTCCAAAGCTACTCAACGTTATTAGTCATTAGGGAAATGCAAATCAAAGCCACAACGTGATAATACTTCAGGTCCACGAAGATGACTAAAAACATTTTTCAAAAGACAACTGGAATCTTCACACATTGCTGGTGGCAATGTAAAATGGTGCAGCCCCTTTGGAAAACATTCTGGCAGTCCCTCAAAATATTAAACAGTTATACGACCCAGCAGTCCCAAGCCTACGTATATTCCCAAGAGAATTGAAAGCCTATGTGCACACAAATGTCTGTACTCATGTGTTCATGGTAAAATTATTCATAACAGCCACAAAGTGGAAACAACCGAAATACCCACCCAGTGAAGAAAGGATAAATAAAAGGTGGTATATTCACATCATGGAATACTATTCAGCAATAAAATAAAGATTTAAAAAATTATGCTGAGTAAAATTTGTGTGTATGATCCCATTTTTTTGACATGTCCAAAAGAGGCAAATCTATAGAGCCAGAAAATGAATTGGTGATAGGAAGGCCTGGGGGCAGAGGGGATGGGATTGACTACTAATGGATGGGGTGTTAAACTTGGGAGTGATGAAAATGTTCCAAAATTAAATTGTCATGACAATTGCTCAACTCCACCAATATACTAAGAACCATGTAAAAGTTTGCTTTCAAAAGGTGAAGTTTATGGGATATAAATTATATCTCAATAAAGCTGTGATTTAAAAAGGTGATTTCAAGACACTCAGTGCACAGTTGCCCTGGGTTTCCTGCCCCACCAAGGCTGAACGGGATAGGACCTAGAAGGCAGAGAGCCCTTGTAGCTCTGTCCCGCTACGTGACTCTCCCTAGGCCCACCTCCCCTCCTGACCCCGCCATACTCCGTGCCCTCACGTTACTCCACCGAATGCCCGTGACTCCGCCCCATCCCTGCCCAACATGACTCTAGCCCTACGTGATCCCACTCCAACCCCACACGACCCGCTCTCTACCTGACACTGCCACATGACCACATGACTCTGCCCCTAACGGATCCTCCCACTAACGGTTACTGATAACGGACCACATTCCTGTCCCATCCCAGAGCTGCTGCTTGGTCCAGAGCCCACCTGCCTCTAGCCTCTCTCATTGCTCTCCGTGGGAACACGCTGAGGCCACCTGCGCCTTCACCACCACACTGCCTGCCATGAATGGTGATCAGCCATCCCTAGTGGTGCAGAACTACCCTCTTGACTGCCAGGCTGCTGTCAACAACCAGATAAACCTGGAGCTCTACGTCTCCTACACGTACCTGTCCATGGCCTTCTACTTCGACAAGAATGATGTGGCCTTGAAGCACTTTGGCCAGTTCTTCCAGCGCCAGTCCCGTGAAAGGGGCGAACGTGCTGAGAAGCTGATGCACCTGCAGAAACAGCGCAGCGGCCGCCTCACCCTCCGCAACATCAGGAAGCCTGGCCACAACGACTGGGAGAACGGAGTGACGGCCATGGAGTATGCCTTGGGCCTGGAAAAGTGGGTTAACCACAGCCTGCTAGATCTGCACCGCCTGGCCACCGACAAGGGCGACGCGCACCTGTGTGATTTCCTGGAGCGTCACTATCTGCACCAGCAAGTCAGGTCCATCAAAGAGCTGGGGGACCATATCAGCATCCTGCGCAAGATGGGAGCCCCGGAGTCCGGCCTGGCTGAGTACCTCTTTGACAAGCTCACCCTGGGCAACAGCGACAAGAACTGAGCTCGGACGGCCTACCCCGTAGCCAGGGGCAGTTTCCCCTGGCCGCCATGCCCAGCAGTCTTATTGAAAGACTGCCCTTACAAAGCGTTCACTTCAGTTTTTTCTTCTAGTTTTGCCATTTCTTCCAATTAAAGTATTTCATTTTTGTTAAATAAATGAAGGTCTCTGGTTGATTCTGGGTGCAAAGCCTCCCCTTTTAAGTTTTAAAACAGGTCTCTAGGTGTCTCCATCCACCCACACCCCATCCACGGACAGCACCGCATCTCCATGGATGGAGTGAGACAGTGTCCACGGGACCAGGAAAACACAAAATCTATCTTCCCCTTATAAAGGAGTGGGGGTCAGATGGGGTTGGGGTGAGGTGGGTGGTCTGGGTTGTAAGGGGGTGGGGTGAGGTGGGTGATCTGGAGCCCTGGAGAAGGCAGGCATATGTCCATGGTAAAGACAGAAAAGGACATAGCCTAGAATTCATCAGCATAGTTGCCCTAAGATAGAAGGAAAGAGGACGGGATTAGGTAGGGATTAAAATAAAGGGGGTCTTTCATAGAGAAAAGACTGGTGGCTGCTACTGGGGAGGGGGGAGTGGTTAAGAGACCCCAAATCCCAATTATGGTATAAGTTAGTCTCATGAAAGTACAACATCAGAAATATAGTCAATAATATTCAATATCTTTGTATTTTGACAGTAGTAACACTTACTGGGGTGAGCATTTAATAATGTAGGTAACTGTCCAATCACTATGTTGTGCATGTGAAGCCAATATAGTGTATATCCACTCTACTTCAGTAAAGGAAACAAAAGAAAAGGGGCATCTTCAGCTTGATGTGAAATGTTTTAGTTCATCAAATTATGCAAATGCTAACGTCTGTGGATTTTTCATAGCAAGGTGGGCGGCCATGGAAATGGGAATGGCAGAGTACTTCCTCAGCAGTCACCCTGGGCTGTGGTAATAATGGAAAATGACCCTTAGGCTGGCGTTTCCATAGGCAAGGGGTTGCCAAACTAAAAAAGTACCAATGGCACTTTGCAAGTCCACGGCCTTTTATCTACATTCCTGTATTTTCTTTCTTGTAAGACCCTCAGGAAGTAAGGGCAGGTGTTAAGACCACGTCTTCTCCAGTGAGAAAAAGGGAGGCCACACAGGTAAGAAGTTATGGATGCAGACATGAACAAAGATCTTCCGATGCCATGTTGCATTTTTTCTATTACCCCGCAGGCAAACGCATGGGTTCAGCAAGATTGTGCGGGTAGACTGGGAATCCAGCCCGATAACCAGGCCCTGAAGGGAGGGAAATCCCCAACACTCTTAAAGACCGGCCAGACCTCTGTAGTGTCTCCCTTCATTACACATGTGCCTTCCAACCTAGGGTGGGAATGGTTCCTAAACCTCAGCCCAAATCCTCCTACTTGGAAAGAAGTCTTCAGAATTAGCCACAGAATGGGTAGGAGGTAGCAGGGCACCTCCCAGGAGGGCAGTCAACACCTGATTGCCCGAGCCCCTCTGTTCAGGCCCTCTCCCTGCACGGGCAGCCATGCTGCTCCCTGAGTTGGGCCAGAACACTGGGGAGACCTGGACTGGGAATCCCCACACCGTGTGCCATGTGCCCAGAGAGCTCCACTGTGAGTGCCTTCTCTTCCGATGCAATAGCTACAGGGGGTGGCTTCAAGGCACACATGGGCTGCTGGCAAATCCAGCTCAGGGACGTGGAGAACCCAGGGTTTTTGCCAAGTCCACTGGGCTGTATCTCTACACCGAAGCATTGCCTGTGGTGATCTCTTGGGTGACCCCTAAAACTGACCCCTGAGTGGTTCTGCCTTGGTTTCTGGGCCCATCTTTTTTTTTTTTTTTTGAGAGGGCATCTCCCATATTTATTGATCAAGTGCTTGTTCACAAAACTAAAATTCTGTATAGCGGACTCAATGCACAATCCTTAATCAACCCCAAGCCTAACTCTCAACAGTCTCCAATCTTCTGAAGCATAACGAACAAGATTTACATGGTGAACAAGTTCTTACATGGTGAATAAGTTCTTACATGGGGAACAGTGCAAGGGCAGTCATATCACAGAAACTTTCAGTTTTGATCATGCATCATGAACTATAAACAATCAAGTCAGATATGATTATTCATTTGATTTTTATACTTGATTTATATGTGAATCCCACATTTCTCCCTTAGTTTTTTTTTAAATAAAATGCTGAAGTGGTAGGTAGATGCAAGATAAAGATAGAAAGCATAATTTAGTGCTGTAAGAGGGCAAGTGTAGATGATCAGGTCTGTGCC